TTAAAAAAAAATGCAAGTAAAATTATAAATTTCTATATTTTTTGAATTCTTTATTTAATCTCAATTATGTGATACGTCAAAAACAGAAAATATAATGTTAAAGAAAAGAATTACTTTAAAATATGCATATGTAAATTTTCGTAAATAACTAATTTTGAATTTATTAAAAATTAATATCTTTTGATCTGATTGATTTATTATGTGATTTAATTTAAAGCTTTTTAAGGTTTCAAGCTGGACTAATAAATAGCAAGCGACATTAAAAGCTCATTAGTATAAAATGTATAAAAAAAAACATTAAAATCACATTTGTTACATTCTCACACACTTTCAAATAATGTAAATAATATGATACTTTCGCAGCAGTCTACATATTATACAGTATAATCATGGTAAACAAATTTGGTAGAATTACTGAATTAACATAATTACAATTGGTATTGTACAAGTAAAAGCTGTAACATTAGAGGCATGCGGCATATACCTGTGTGTTTCGCGTAGAGATGCAGAGCGAGTCGTAGCATTGGTGTGAGTAGGAGTAGCTGCATTGCAGCGATGGAGGGTAGGACACGAGAACGCCTTGATGCGGGCACGTAATGCCAAATACTGCTCATAAAACCTGCATCACATGCATTACCGTGCCATGCATATCTCTACACTAATTATCATAATAGTATAGGGACATACGTTATAAATATGAAACGCTAAGACTCATAATTAATGCAGACACATGGAGTATGCATATTATACAATATCTTAGTTGAAACGTAGCACCGCTGTTAATAGCATTAAATATCTGCCTATATCATTAAAAAATAAAAAGACACGATATTGCTACAAATATAAAGCTGCGAACTTGTAATATATAAAAAAAAGAATAATATATAATGCATGAAGCAGAAACTTAACTAAACTTACTTCTCATCTGTCTCGAAACTATGCGTTCTTCTTAATACCACATCGGATTCTCCACTAACTTTGTTTGGTGTTGTTGGTATTTTAATATTGTTATCCTTATCTTCAAGTTCTGTGAAATAATTATGTAAATTTATTAATAATTTAACAGGAAAATTCGAAATATAATCGCATTCAATGAACATACTTGTAGATGCAGAATTAGTAGTTTCAGTACTTTGCATTCTATTTCGGAAGGAACCTGAACGTCTCCAAGATGGTACAACACCGTCCTCATTATTATCAGTCTGTTGTTTTGGAGGCAATATTGGAGCCTTAAGAAAAAAAATCGGATAAATAAGCAACAAAACTAGTTGTATAAAATTTTTCAAGAATATAATATGTATGTGTGTGTGTGTGTGTGTGTGTGTGTGTGTGTGTGTGTGTGTGTGTGTGTGTGTGTGTGTGTGTGTGTGTGTGTGTACGTACACACACGCATATATATAAAAAGATGATTCAAAAACAGATGTCTTACCTGATTAGGAACTTTATTAGTTTCAACTGGAGATATTGGACTATGGGGTGCACTTTCATCTTTGTTTACTCTATTTTTCTTTTCTGTAAAATAATTAAACAAACTTTACTGCAACTATTTATAATTTTATAAAATAAGTATTTAAAGTCCACACTCTTTAAAGCAATAACCAATCCAGTAAGTTTCATTTAAGAGATATTTTGTCACAAAATTTTTATACAGTATACATGCAATAATAAGCAATAACTTGTATCATCAAAAAAAAAAAAAAAAAGAAAAAAAAGAAAAAAAAAGAGAGAAGGAGAAAAACAGTCTTACAGATCAAACTTACCGTCATCTGTAAGACATGTCGCATGGTTAGACTTATCAGATTGATTGGAGAAAGTGGAAGAGTGTGATTCTGAGCTAGTCTCAGATTCACCTTCACCATCACTCTCTTCCATGTGTGTTTCACGTGTTGCTTCTGTCCATGCAGCAATGTTATAAGAAATACACATTACAGTTAACGGTAACATAAATTAAATTCGCAAAAGTGGACTAGGATAAAAATTTGTGAGAAAATAAATAATTTGCAAAACATAATTATACTTTTTCCTTTTTCTTCACATAACAGATAAACATGGAAGTTATAGAGTAGATAGTTATTTCATATCAATGTAATCACCTCTTAAAAAAAAAAAAAAGAAAAAATTAAGTCCAAAAATTATATACATATATTATTAGAAAAAAAAAAAAATATAAACGTGCGGATTAGATCGTATATTGAAATCGTATCGTATATTGAAAAGAACAAGTAGAATCTTACCAACGTCGCTGTTTGTACTAGTGCTGGAATCTTCTTTATCAGATTGAATCTCTAATTCAACCTTCTTAACTTTATTTGGCGTTTCTTCTTCAAAGATTTCTGTAGATTCTTGTGCCGCTACCGCATTATCAGCACTCGTTGAGAAACTGTAACATTTAGAAGTATATTAAGAGAAAAAACAATTACAATCTGTTTTAGAAGAAAGAATAGAATTATCATGCTTACCGTTTCTTTGGTATAGACGATTGCTTTTTGTTATTTGTTTGTGAATTTTCTTTGATAAGTGCTTGTTGCTCTCTCAAATTTTCAAGAGCTTTGAGGATGTCTGCATCAGCAATATCAAAAGCAGTTTGATCCTGAAAGCAAGATACTGATGAGAGAAGAAGCAAGAATAAAATTAATTGATTACATTTGTCAATCAAATCCAGCCTGGATTCAGATTAAATTAATCTAAAGCCTGGAGCTAATTTAATCCATAAACAGTTTAATTATAATTATTAGAAACATTTATTTTCTTACGGCGTAATTTTTCATATCCATATCACAGCCGTTCTCAACAAGAAGTTTGCAAGCTTCCAGTTGACCCCAATGCGCTGCACCGTGCAAAGGCGACCATCCATCAAAGTCCTGTGCATCAACATTGCATCGAGCTTGTAGTAATATGCTGCACAGAAATATTAAAGAATTCAATAAAAAGAATCAACCTTAAATCTGCATTTAACATATCAAAAAAATTGTTCAATTTTTTAAGTAATTTTTATTTTATTGCACTGCGCGTCATATGATACAAGAGATGTAATTTTTGAGATGTATTTTTCGATACAAAAGATGTAATTTTCTATAATATTCATTTACTTATCTATCTAATATCTAATATCAAATCTTTTATTTTTAATTAAAATATAATGTCTTACTGCATGACTTTGATGTAGCCTTTGGCAGCGGCGACATGAAGTGCCGTGGCTCCTGATCTCGGATGCATGGAATCTTTGCCTGGTGCACCTGACCGCCAAGCTTTTGCATCATTTAACATTGACCGTTCCTCTTCGCTTCTAGCTTGATCACAATCGATGCCTGTACATAAAGTTAAATTTTTTAATAAAAAATTGAATTAAATTTATTTCATATATATATGTGTGTGTGTGTGTGTGTGTGTGTGTGTGTGTGTGTGTGTGTGTAATTTATAATTTTTTAGCTTAATTTATTTTAATAATCTGTATTTCACAAATATGTTTAACTTTCATTTTATCAGTAAATTCAATTATACTTCAATTATACTATAAGAAACGTTTCATATCATAAATATTTCTTTATTTACGAGTAGTTACACACATGTAAGGTGTGAATGATGCATGATATTGCTTAAGAGAGTATTTCAGCACATTGTACGTAAAATTATATCAACATCACGAAAAGAGGTCAATGAAAGAGGATATCTTTGCCAACGTATGATTTGTGTCTCAGCGTGCAAACTTCTAGTCGGATGTTGAATTTTAGGTGCTTAATGTTTTACATGTGAAGCGTTTATACTTTTTTATATATCATAGATTTGAGTATAACATATAATAGCTTTATAAAGCTAATATTTGGATGAAGAAGTGAAAAATGGTGGCTAATTGCCACTTACATAGTTAAATTGTTTGTAAAATTATTGCAGCAGAGATATTTCAGTATTACGATTTCCAGTTCTGATTTTCCTCGGAAGTCTATAATTAAAAGTTTTACGCAATAGAGAGGCATCAGACATCCTGCAGGTACACATATAAATACAAACCTGCTTTATTTATATGCTGTTGGAGCATGTCTTCCATCTCGTCGCTTTCTGCAATATCCAGCGCCAGTTCACCGTCATTGTTTACTGCTGCCAGATTACATCCTTGTTCTATTAAGTATCTATAAAATAACATAACATTGCCATTTATTGCCATACGTGATTAGCACATTTATTGATAAATTATATATATAAATCTAAAGAAAAAAATAGTTTATGTAAAAACTATACTAACTTAGCAATAGATATGAATCCACAAGATGCTGTGGCATGTAAAGGGGTCCAGCCTTCATTATCTCCACGATTGATATCCGCTCCTTGTTCCACCAAAAACTCCACCATATCCAGGTCATCATCAATGCAAGCCTGTTGTAATAATATAATATGAATATAATATATCATATGCTGTCCACTGATTACATCAACGTGCATGAGTACACAAGTTGGACAAGAGTTGAAAAGCGTGCGCGATTGGCAAGATGTATTTCGAGGTCTCGACATCGAGACCACCAATTTTGCTCGGTCTAGTCAAGTCTGGTCGCAATCCAAGGCTCGAATCGACGTTATGTTATAAATGCGCTGCTTCGATTACGTCATTACTTTTTGAGAGACCCCTTAAATGGAAGCAATATCTCTATATGATAATGGAATGTTTCATTATAACATATGTAGTAAATTTATATCACATAAGACTGAAGGAATTAATTATCAACAGCAATGCTATTTCCAAATAGCATCATAAAATAAAACATATTTATCGTTTAATCAGAATCTTCATAGATATTTAACGCCCAGTAGTAAGTTTTTTCATAATAGATTAAACAAACGGTAAAAGTATGAATTATTCTTTACGTCGTTCAACGTATGCAAATTTTCATGACTTTGATATTATCAAAATGAAAAAAAAGTTAGGTACATGTTACAACATTGCTAGACAGAGAATTTAAACTGAACACAGATGCTGCAGCCTGTGACTTCTAACAGAGAGCTATAAATAGCATTTGATGCCTGATGTATTTTCACATTCTATTTTCGCAAATCCATGAAATGCCTTAACTTCCTTCCTTCTCGCTTAAATAACAGCCATAAATATCGCTTCACGTTATAGAAAATGTTATTCCATTTAATAAGACTTGTATAAGACTCTCTACCGTTATTACTATACAGCAAATATCTCCTTACATTTATATGATAATATCGCGCTACATTTTTACAGTTGTTTCAAGCTTCGAAATCATTAATAATTGTTAATTAATTTAACTGGCAAATGTGCATTAAGAAATATATTTAAAAAATATATAAAACGGATACACTGTTAGTATTATTATTTTTTATGATTGTAATTTTACATTTTAAAAAATATCGCCCATTATAATTTTTTATGACTCGCAAGATTTGCTTATTTAAATATTTTTTTTTTTTAGCAGAATAATTATTTCATTTTTCTCCGCATCAGGGATTCCTACATGCCAACCGACCTCTTCTTCTCATTAATTATATCCTCATTAGTTACTTAGTACTGTAATAACCGTTATGGTATATATGTATGTACGGTGTCCCGGATTACCTAGTTGCGTCCGCTTTTGGAAACACCCAGAAATAGATTGCTCGTAAAAGCTTACCACTCGCGAAAAAAAGTTGTTGCCAGTGTGACAAGAAAATTGCTCTATAATTTCTAAACATGCTCAGAATGATATTATAACTACAAATTCTTTAAATATTAGCATGTCGAATTAATTTTTTTTCACGATAAAGTTTCAATTTCAATCTCCTGATGTTTAAAAATTAGAAATTACAATTAACTAAAAGGTAATATGGCAATTGAAGAGCCATTACAAAATAGAAACATTGAGATATTATAAGTTTTTTAAATTATTAATATAAATAAATATAAAATAATCATGCAACCAATTATTTAATACATAATAAATCAAATAGACTTTTATATATACAATTACATACATTCATTTTTTAAAAATAATATCGAAATATGTTGGTCTCAGCTATTATTTCATAATCCAACATTTTCATAATCCATGCTTTGTAAAGCAAAATATAAACTATGTTATAAAATAAACAATACATTTTAACAAACATAAATAATAAAAAAATTTAATAAAAAAATGAACTAAGATTAACATTAAAACATTGTTTATTATAATAGCAATTAACTTTTCAAATTAAAGATTTATAAATAAACTGCAGCTGTTTTGTCAGGCAACATAAAATGGAAAAAAAAAATTTCTGAGAATATTACTTTTAATGTAATTAAATAAATTTTTAGAAAATAAACAGATTTCTAAAAAAAAAAGTTTAATCCATTCTTAGAGTACATTTTATATACAAAATTCTGATTTCTTTTTTATTTTTTAAATAATATTTTTGTGATGCTTGGATCTTAAAATCTAAATCTAAACTTGATTAACGTTTGTGTGCTTCATACATTTCCTCTGTCAGACTTATTTCCACCAATAATCGATTTTAATCTCGGTTTAATTATCTCTTTATCTTTTTTAATTCTTAGAGATATGAGAAGATAAAAGTAAGTTAAACAGAGATTAAAGAGTAATCTACAATACAATCATAGAACTGAACAGAAAAAAAATGAGTAACGATCGAATTCTGACGAGTATCAAATGAAATAATTGATGATCAAACAGCATATAATATTGCACTTCAAAATAAAATACAAACACAATTATTAAAATGTTAAAATGTATATTAAAAAAAAAGATCTAGTACAAGAAAAAAAATCATATTTCCAGATTTATTCCGATTGCGTGAATATACATTCGAGTCACGGCAACTAAACGCGGCACGTCAAAACATCTTGCAATAAAATTAGCATTTTGGTTACACAAGCGAGATATTACCTAAAGTATCTTCTTACTAATCTTCTTACTAATATATATAACATAGTAATTAACGGTTGAAAGCAGACGCTGCGTTTGCGATCAACGTGACGGTCTCTTGACAGGATTCCAAGAGGGAAAAAGAGACAGAGAAAGAGAGAAAAAGAAAGAAAGAGACCTGTTTCCTTTGACACCGGCATCGAATTGAACAACAATTGCAAACACACCCCCCGCGGATAATTTTTTAATGTTTGCGAATTATACTCGTTTCTATGTAGATTAACTTTAATTACTCATCTCTATAAATATAGATTAACTTTAATTCATTCTTCGTCCTTTTCAAATTCTTGAAACTAAAAAGGAGTAAATTAAAGATTAAAGTTGATTTACATTAATAGAGATAGATTTTAATTTTGTTTAATTTATTCTTTTCATTCTTGCTTAATTCTTAGGTCTAGTTCCATCAATATAAAATTAACTTTAATCTCGATTCAATTTACTTTTTTTCTCATTGTAAGAATTAAAAAAAAAAACAGTACAACAATTAATCTTACATCAATGAAACGGGACTTTAGAACCACAATAGAAAAAGAAAAAAATAAGTAAAAATCAATCCTCAACTATAGCTATGAAAACTAAGTTCTAAAGTTATAATCTTGTTTAAAATATAGAATAGAAATATAGAAGTAAATCTCCGTTTTACAGCAATTGATAAAGAAAGGTTCAAAGTTTTGTTTACCCACAATTTAGAACTTTATAATACCAATCGTATAGATTATAGAATCATCTAAAAATATTTACTGAGGGTCTAAATAGCCCATTGTTGTAGTCATGAATTAAAGTTAATCTACATTAGTAGAAACGGGCGTTAGACAGCTGGAGTTCATAGAAGCCATCTTGCAGAATTACGTTTACGCGGGAGGGAGGGAAGGAGGGAAAAGAAAAGAAGACGTTGGGAGGAAGGTAGAAGTGGTAGAACACTTTCTGGAGAGGAGGAAAAGGATAAGGATGAGGAAGAGGAGGGGAAGACTTGAAAGAGCTGTCAAAATTTCAGCGAGATGCCGGAAGGAGAAATGCCAACGAGAGATGCGCGTCCAGGGAGAAGCGCCTGCGTCCGGGGTGACTCGCTACCCTTAAGTACCTGGTGCAACGCAGTGAGACCGTCGACGTTCCCGGTGTTGATGTCCGCTCCCCTCTGCAGCAAACGCACGACCTCCTCCTTGTCGCTGGCCGCGCACGCCGCCAGGAACACGATATCGGCGGAGAACTTGATCTTGCGCGCGACTTGGCGCGGTTGCGTGGGCTCGCGATTCGTCTCGGACTGCTCCCAACGCTTGAGCTGTTCGGCTCGCTTGAACAGGGCCGAGCTCGAACGTGTCTCGAGAGACATTGCCCCGACGACGGCGGCGGCGGCAACGACGGTGGTGGTGGCGGCGGCGGTGGCGGTGGC